GCGGCTGCAAACTCAGTGATCCGTATGATTGGGAGGAGCCACCGACTAAAAAATGATTCGGAACTTGATCTAAGCGCTATTTGCTGGCAGTATTTTGCAACTTGTATTTTTATCAGTTTAGTAAATCTAGCACAGCAACAGACGATGATATTGCTCCACATGTTTCTCATTCCGATCAATTCCTACATTCGATCTGATCGATTCAGCCGACTTGATCCGAATCAGTCTTTTTTTCAAGTTTTGTTCATTTTACCCAAAAATTGTGCTCATTTCTAGAAGCAATTTTCGTCACAAAAAACTGCTCTTATTTTGTCACCTGGCACAATGTTAACAGATACCGTTCCACTCTCAGTCTAAGCAGTTCAACTGTTCTGATCAACTAATTAGTTTCTTTCAACGTCGTTCATTTCTACTCAAAATGCGCCTATGTTTGAAAAAAAATTTTTTTTGAAATAAAACTCTTGCTATTTTGCTCCAAACAAATCAACATTTGCCGCAAAAAAAGAGGAAAGTAGTACTTGATTAATTGTTGAATGCCTAACTCTCGGTACTTTCTCAGTGAAAGTTCTGGTCACAGCTGGAGAAAGTTTTAGGTGTAAGACAGAGCGGGAAGAAAAAAAGAAAAAAAAATAAGAAAAGGACAGTGTGGGAGCCCAAAATGTGGAAAGTATGATAAATTTAGGAAACTGGTGGGAGTTTAAGGGTAAAACAGAAGGCGAGAAGAGAATTAGAAAAGGACAATGTGAATCCAAAGTGTGAAAAATATGACAAATTTAAAAATATCTGAGTTTGTGACTCAAAATCAAAAACTCAAAAACCCCAGGCTGGTGAAGTTAAATCCCTGAGGCTCATCCATCAAGCTAACTTTTCCAATATTGTGCAATGCTTTAGCACCGCTTTCTGCCAAATACAAAATCATCGAATTAGAGCTACAGAAGCGGCTAATACAAAATCTGAGTACAAAATGCAAATATAAAATCTGCGGATACGAAATCTGAGAATACAAAATCAAAATTATTGCGGATACAAAAACTGAATTGCTTTTATCGAATCGCGTCCGGATTTAGAGCTACAGAAGCAGCTAAATGTAATCAAACAATTCGTTGATGCGATCGGCACGACAGTAAAAGTGGCCAAATATGCAAAAGTCCAGAATTCTTGGGAGCCAAGTGTTTAAGTGTTTCAGAATTTTTAAAAATACAAACACGGAATATCTCTGGCTGGGGGGCTGGAAGAAAACGAAGGCCTGAAGTCTTCCCTGTGTTCACATACACAGTTTGTTTGGCGTTGTTTGCCCACCGTGGAAGTCGATTAATAGTTCCACTTAACTCTCGGCAAGTCAGTTAATATCTCCATTACAATTACACTGCAGCAACCAGGTCAACCCGTAGGTGCTCAACTACTATGGTACTTTCATGCACCCCGTAAACCCAGTGAAATCCACGATTCCCCAGCAGCTAATTTTTCATTATTCCAATATCATCATATCCATTAGCCACTGGACCCTTGTTTTT